AGAGAGAGAGAGAGAGAGAGAGAGAGAGAGAGAGAGAGACTTGCGTAAAAGACACTGTCCGGAGTAGCGAGACGATAGCGTTTCGTCGCAGAAAGCAACGAGCTGAAGACGAAGGGAGCCTCGACTGTACTCCAGTAAATAAGCGCGCGTGAGCAATGTGAGCACTGTGAGCGGGAGAAGAGAGGAGAGCGCAGATCGGAAAGAACGGCGGCGAAGAGAAAGAGAAAGCGCGTGCGACCGACGAGGGAGAGGGAGGGGGGGGGGAGGGGAACGCGCGCCGCAGAGGGGTCGGTCGTGCGAAATGCGACGTTAGTGCCCTCTGGGCGGTGTATCGCGGAAGGTAAGATTAGTCAGTCGCCAGCCGTTTGAGGACGACGCACGTTTCGAGCGCGCGTCTCCGTTTGATTTCGCGTTTGAGCGCGAGATACCGAGGTGATCGCGATAAACCGAGGTGAAGTGTGATCAGTGGTGCGAATTAACAGTCACGAGAGATCCTGAACTGTGCGGCGCGTTGTTGATTTTTGGAAAACTGCTTTTCCGGCGCGAACAGCCGGAGCAACAGGTGTGTGCGACACTTTATCGAAATCGGAGCGATGATGGCGGGAACTTTACGAGAAGTAAGAGTTTGTCCGGGTTTTTCAAATATTATAAGCTGCACACGTGAACTTTCTGGTGCTACTCGAAGAATTTTATTTCACGCGTGTCAACGAGTTTAACTCGCCGACAAAGAGAGAGAGAGAGAGAGAGAGAGAGAGAGAGAGAGAGAGAGAGAGAGAGAGAGAGAGAGAGAGAGATACACTTCAATTTTAGTGGCGTGGTATATAAATAAATGTGAAGCGGATCAGCAGCATTAAAGGCAGCTTTCAGCGGGAATTGGAAAACGAGAGGATCACGAGAGGACGAACGTGGTCGCGTGGTGGTCGCGTGCTGACAGGTGGCGACGCGCTGCGAAGAATCGACAGGGTGGCGTATACGAGATACCTACGGGGGGAAGAAAAGTGTGTTCGTCCTTCGAAAGCCGCCCTCCGTTATATTCTCGCGCGAGTTGGAACTGCTGGAAGGGATTTCTCTCACCTCCGAGCGAAGGAGATGCGTGCCGGATGTGAGACGAGGTAGCGCGGGAACGATGAAAAGGAGAACGCCGGACGGCTTGCTGGCGTCGTGCCGCGAACGAAGGGGAAGTTCCGCTCCGAGATAACCTCGGCCGCGGTGTGATATTCCCCCCGCAGATTTTTATTTTTATTACATTACCGGGACGCATCGTGCGAATATTATCAGTGCGTTGCGGGATAATTCAATTACAAGTAGATTTAAATTGGAAAAATCAATCGGCTGTGTGACACAGTCAATCTGTACGAACTGTTATACGAATTTTCTTCTTAATTTTCACCGCTCTGTCGTCGATTGAAATTATTTTATTATTTATCACAACGGTCGAATAATATCTGTGGGATTGTTTCTTCTTCTCCGTGGTCTTGTTTACATTGTGATGATCGAGTTGGATTACGCTCTCACGTGTGGCATGAAGGCAGTGCGATAGTGAACTGTGTGAAAGGTTATACGTAATTATTAAAGTGAAGGATATCAGTGCCGTCAAGTGTTGTACAGGTGTGTTACGTCTTGTTGTGAAACGAAGAACAGCAGGGTGGGCGTGTAAGAAGCGCCCGGACCACCCGCCAGTGATCTTTGTTCTTTGAGAATGAAGTGAACACTCGCGGCCCAGGCTTTCTTCATCGAAATATGAGGATTACGTTCTATCATTGCGACCGTTCGTGGGCATCGATTGCGAGCAAAAATGAATCTCACCCGCGTGTTTCTGCTATTACTGCTCGTCGCGAGTTCAAGGTATGTTTGCGCAGCGGATAAAATATTTCGCTGCTCTCATAAAATGAAATAAAATCAGAGATGTTATTACGAATGCATTTTTTTACGAATGTGGACTGATGTAAGAGTATCATAATTCTGAGGCAAGCTGTTTAGAAACAGGGAACGAGATGTAAACAAATTATAAACATCTGTGGATAAAAGGGATGGAGAGATAAATATTCGCAATTTGAAATATTAATTGTGAAATAACTTGAACTTAAATTAGTGCTATCATAATATTAATAATAATAAAATATTAAAATATATGCTTACCATTTGTGCTATATTTATTTTACTGATTCGTAATATTAATATCTACTATTCACGTCACAAGAAAAAATGTACTAAGTCTTAATAAATATTTGTTTTAATTGTACAAGCTGAATATTTACTATTAAATGTAAACACATATTTTTCTGGTAACTATTAATTTGATTTTAATTGTTACTTTTTTGTTTTGTATTTAATAAATATGTATTTATTTATCGTAAGTCAACGTTAAGTTGATATTATTCAAGCAAATATTTATTAAAATACATTTTTTCTCAGTGCATACAACATGAATTATATTATATAAATGATCATATATATTTTAGTTATTATTTCAATCTATTTTACAATTATTATTGTAAGTATCATGTAACGACAGGATGTCCTTTACCGGAAAAAACTTGGAATTCTCATGAAATTTTGTTGAAATTGTCAATTGTTGTTTTGTTGAAAGGGAAATTTTTCGAATTCCATTTTTTAATTTAAATTCTATTTTATTTGACAAAATCATTTCTTTGACTATTTTTTAATAAATAAATTGCAAATTTGACTAGACCTTAATGTCAGGTAGCAGCCAATCAGCCGTTTGTATGCTAACAAGTGAAGGGATAATACGTGATCTACAGTAGAAATCGTAGTGGTCATATAAAGTCTGAAAGTCTGAAATCATAAGAAATTGACCAATCACAATCGAACGTGAGCAGAATAACCGACTATAATTGATCAGTTCTTATGATTTCATATTTTAAAATCACTAGATCTCTATTGTAGACCTCGCATATGCTGATTCTACAATGAGTCGATAGTCTGTAATCTTAAGTCTTATCTCGGCGAATCAGTGAAGTTGGCTAACTTGTACAACTAAAGCCTTTCCATATTGAAGCTCTATGCTCATTTTTAGTGTCAAAATAGATCATGTGATCAAAATTGATGCTTGACATTCGTTAATTTTTATCATGTTATCTGTTTTGATGCTAAAAATAAGAGTCGAGTGTCATGAAAGGTACTTTAAATACACTACCGATTTTTTAAAGACTAGCTAAATTCGAATCTTAGGAAATGCTCTGAAGAAAGTAAATGCACTTAAGGAACAAATTCTAGTTTAAAAAAAATGAATTTTGTGTTGTCTGAATGTTATTTACTTATAAATATTATTTATGTCTTTTGTTTTTTTAAATATAAAAATTATATTTTTTATCATTGTAAACAACTTATGTTTATATATATAGTTTTTCAAATTATTTGTTTTAGAATGTCTCTAATGTTTTTAATTTTACTTGGAATTTTGAATGAAATTCATGGAAAAAAAAACCTAGAATTCTCAAGGAATACTTTTTATAAAATTTGAATACCCTGAATGATAATTAATTTGTGAAAAGACTTGCTTAAAAGCAAATAGTGATAGATTTTTTTTTAAATAAAAATGATTATATTAAGTATAATCGATTTAATATATATTAGTATATATATTAATTGTTTGTTATATAAAAATAAAATTCTTTTGACATTTGATCTTTGACAATTTTTATCATTTCATTTATCAAAGCTATCGTATTTTTCAATATATTCCCGTTGCAATTCTTTAAAAGAATGGTATTACAATTACTCGAGATAGGTGGCGTGATGATTAGAGGTGTAACATTCTTCCGATTATCATCATACATTCACATTAACTCGATATCGATGGAATTGTATTTTCATTGTTAGGTCGTCTTACCCGATGTTTCTTCGTGTTGCATAGAGAATCGATATCACTGCACATATATCCAGTTCGTACGCTGATAAGGAAAATCAGTTACACAGAAAGAACAATTTTACTGAAATGTCTGCGAATTTAGTTACATATTTGAAAATAAGTTTATTAGATTATAAAAATAATTACATAAGAATCTCACGGATGACAAGCAATGTTTCAAACAAAGTTTTGATGTTCCAGCAATCAGTTTGAACATTCTATATAATTATGCCGCTAATTCAAACAATTATTTTCAGATCTGTATGTAATAGTTAAATTTTTAGATATTTCAGCAAAACCTTTTCGTGTATTTATTTAAAAAAAAAAAGTTACAAGCTGGAGTAGGTTTATATAAACTCTTCTTTCTTCTCTTCTTTCGAGTTTCTTAAAGTGTGCTTTCGTTTTGCAGATGTATGTGCTCGAGCGGATATACCGGGCAAAACTGCGAGAGCGACTACATCCCCTGTGATCCGTCACCGTGTGAAAACGGAGGCTCGTGCCATCAGCTCGGTGAACATGACTACGAGTGCCTTTGCTCTGAAGGTGAGTACCGCGCAAACTTTTTACTTTATACCCCGTATCGTGCTGTGGAATCTCACCGCACTACGTACCCCCAATCCCACGAAAGATGAAATGATTTTCTTATCAATACGTACGATCTCCTTGTGTACTTCGCTCTTTTTCCGTCCAATCTCGCTCTCTTCTGTGTCAGAATTACCTTGTCCAAGGTAACAGGAATGACAGCAGCAAAATCTACGCGTCTTGAAGATTTCCACCGTTGCAGCCTCTTCAGAATATTACAGCCTATGATCAGTTACAGTTACGTGGAAGTACATGTAACTCGAATTTCTCTTTTTCCCTCCTTTGTCGCTCGCTTCCGGAGAACACGGTAATGAATAACTTTCATTCTTTCCTCTGTTATCGAGACCTCAAATTCCGAAAAACCCATTCCGAGGACTTTTCTCACGGAACGGCCAAAGTTCGTCTTTGTGTCACCGTATAATATTTCAGAGGACAAAAGTCTCTAATTGCAACGTGTTCTGATAATTCATCGTGGAATTTGGAAAGAGTCTTTTCGGAGATTCTCGCGCGTTCCACTCTGTTTATCGTGTTTAAGAGAATCTTTCGCGCCCGTCGCGTAATCTCGCCCCAAGAAAACGTCGAAGGGACGGAGGAAAGAGGAGGTCAAAAGAAGTCCTCTCTCTCTCTCTCTCTCTCTCTCTCTCTCTCTCTCTCTCAGGACAATGATTACTCGGTGCAACAGGTACAAACTTGGGCCAGGGGTGGCCGACACGGCCATTTACGTGCGTGTATACATGGTAGATGGTTAATGTAAAGCCTAGGGTCAGCCTAGCGTGGCCTCCTCGCTCCCTGGGTTACAATGCGTGGTCCTCTTTTTCCCAGGCGGACCACAACCATGGCGACCCCACCTTCTTACCGCGTCCGCTTCTTCATTTCTTTCCCCTGTCTTCTCCTTTTCCTTCACCTTTCGTCCACCTTGTCGGCGCAAGTCTTTTCCCGTTAAAAAAATACGAACGAGTCCTACCTTTTCGCAGGTGATTCTTCATTACTGATTCTTATGTGCTTTCTGATACTGTTTTGTACAATATATTATACGTCATTTGATACGACGTTATAAAGTATGTGTAATTTTATTTTTTCATTCATTGACACTTTAAATTTTTCATTCATGCGTACTTTTAATTAAGACTTTTATTTTTACACATAACTTTATTTTAGTTTGCATATTTTGTTTCTTTCGTAAATATATGCTGTTTTGATTTCACGTAATTTGATATTTTTTATTCTACATAAAATATAATTTAATATAATTTAATTTCTTTATAACACTGAAAAGAGCAAAGAAGAATTACGTCATTTAGGATACTGAGTCATTTAAGGATATAATGTACCTCTTAAATTCTCATCACTGTACGTTTGCTCAATTTTAATCAAATCTAGATTTAGACACATTTGCGCACACATAAATTCGTAAATATTTCCGACAGGTAAAGTGACAAAAAAAAAAATTTTTTAAATTGGATGTTGCAAACATCTTTTACATAACTTTTGTTGATGCACGTCATCGCGTATTGAGGTATTTTGCGATATTACATTAGACTAAAAAAGTGTCGTATTATGTTTTCCACGTGTTTCGTCTAAGAACACGTCTTCGATCGAAGAAATCGGCACATAACTACGCACTGTAACTACGCACTTTTATTTCGATCATTCAATATTCTCTTTCCGATTTCTTCCTGATCGATTCTTCCTCGAACGAGGTTGAAGAGAACGGGGCCGCCCGTGATTATCGCCTTCTCCGCTCAGAGCGACGCCTTCCACACGATCCTGTAAAACGTACATTGCTTTGCTTTCGTTCTTCCTCCTCCCGCTCCGTGACACTCCAATAAGTCGCGAGGATCGAAACTCGAAGAAGGCGTGCCTCGGTCATATGTCGGCGACCGTTAACACTGGAAAATCGACGACGATCGGGGATCATGCGGATCATCCCTGGTCGTCGCCAGGATGAGACCATAATTATACCGGATTTTGCTTGTCAAAGAATTTCTAAACTTTTTCAAATCAAGGAATTCTTTTCCAGTCTCATTCCAATATATTATCGTAAAGATTTTATTGTATTTTTCTCCATTTTTCTCGCACTTCATTCAACATTCGATTTTTGTCACAACTGTGACACATCAATCACACGGTATAATTCAGTAGATATTTTTTCATAATTAGCATTAGTATCGAAATTTCTGATATAAAAGTGTGTTTGCATGTTTACTGTTATATTCTCGGTTATGTAAAAATATGAAATTAGTAAAAAATTAATTTTCATTTGAGGAAAAGGATTTTCTCAGGTATGAAGACTGTTATTCTAATGTAGTAAATATATTACTTGATATACAGTATTATATGTACATATTTTTATCAATTCTCTTTCCAAAATGAGAAATAATTATTCAGATCGGGTCTCCATATCGTATCTTTAAACGAATTTTTAAAGTTATGTAAGTATATTTACTGTTTTTCAATCATGCTTTTTAAATTGCGCGAGACAGTATTGCCAGAATAAAATGCTGTAACGCGTTCGAAATGATTCCCTCGCGTCGTTAGTTATAATGGTTCAATTTGCAGCAGAATGCTTACGCACGCCTTCCGTCATATTTTCTCTCTCATTTGGCTCTCCTCTCATTGTCGATTTCTTTGCAGCTGACGCATCAGTTCTTAGCTCTAGTTATGCGTTTTTGCTTGCTTTCTGTGCGAAAAAGAGCTCTTCACAAAGTTGAAGGCTCATAACTATCCTCGGCAGGACTCTGTTCAAGACGATTCGGTCGCTCAGGTAGAAGTAATGGTTCAATTTACAGCAACCCGCTCTCTCTTAACTCTTATCCTCGCCTGGGTTTTCTTCTTGCTGAGCACGAGCCATCTATGTTACTTTTATCCCTTTTCGCTCTAACTTGGGTACTCTGTCTCTTTTTGTTTCATCGCAAGACCAGCTGTCTCTTTCCTTTTCGCTTAAGGGCGATCCTACCTAGCGAAGAATTTCCCTCGTCGAATGATTCGATCACGCCTCCTCCATTCCATTCCGCTAATTAGAAACTGCTCTATCGAGCGCTGGTTAAGCGATTAACCGCGCGACCATAGATTAATCAGTCAAAAGAGGAAGGGCTGAAGATCTCGGTGAAGAAAGAGAGATGGAAGGAGAGAGGGCGGATAATAGAAAAGGACAGAGATAACTTGGTTTTTTGATCTATGCAACACTCGTTTTCTAGAGCCAGACCGAACTATCTCGCCAGTTTACCGTTTTCTTCATTTCTCATTTTTCTGATTCAATCATTACACATATAGCGCATACGTAACTATATACGCACGCACACGTAACTACATACGATGATACAGAGCGAACGAAATGAAATGAGAGAAAGAGAGCGAAGAAGTCTTGCCGATTGATCGACCACGACGATTGTACTGACTCGGTGAAGTTCTTGTGGAGGAATTAAATCGTCGATTTTATCCTTGCCGCGTACCGCGACGATCGACAAGAAACTCGAATTTATTGTTGAAGTTATACTTTGTCGGCATCGCTAGAGGATTGAATAGTCTCGTGAGAGATGGTGCGTGCTTCCGTCAATGCTTCCTCTCACACCGATTAATTTATTGATCTATTTTTTACTGTTTGCAAGGGAGACTTTCCGAATATTGTCTCCTCTATTCATTTTTCTACATTCATGTTTCTATTTTATATTCATTTTTTGAAATTTTTAATTTATTAGCTGGCTGGAAAAATTAACATTAATTTTTCTTTTGAGAACAGTAGCGTTTGTGACAAGATGTCTAATCTAAATAAAAGCGAAATCTAATTATTTTATTTATAATAGATTAATTTGCTATGAAAAGTCTAAATAGCGAATTTGATTGGATACACTCAGTGCGCACTGGTGCACATTATTAAAGCCATCGTACAAATTGACATAAAAATATGTGTTTAATACAAATATACAAACGGATTAAACCATAAAATCCTATATATTTTATTATGCCATTAAATAATAATCTCTATTTTATAATTTGAAATATTTACATTTTACACAGATTAAATCAGTCTATAACAGTTTTAATAAATACTAGTGCGCACTTGTGCGTCCAAATATATATTCGTTACAACATTTGACATCATTAAAATTATATATTAAATATAACTCGTATAACATGCACATAAATTTTTAATATTAAATTCTATTTTTATTAATTTACAAGACAATGTTTTTTATCATAATTATAAAACAATTTTATACTAAAAGTAAGTATCTTATATTAATTTTAAATTGATGACTTTTATATTAAAAGGTACTCAAGTTTAGAGCCTATGAAAAATATATCTAATACGAGCTACTCCATCAATCAAAAGCTTTTCACTTCTACTACTTCTATTTCTACTAATCATCTCGTTCTCGTAATAATTGTAACGGAACCTCATTACAGGCTGTGTTAATTGAAATCAAATAAATCGATCGAATCGATTGGATCCATTTTGCTATGATCGATGTTGGAGGATTGAGAATCAATTGGATATATTTTTACTTTTTCGATTTACGTAATTTTTATAACTGATTAACAGCTCGCGCATTTATAAACAAGCGTATCAGAATGTAATAAATTGAGATTCTATTACACACACACACACACACACACACACACACACACACACACACACACACACACACACA